TTGAACTCATTTTATGGAAATGTAAGCGAAAATTTCGTAGCTGATACTTTATTATTTGTAACAAAGTATTATGTTTTGCTGAACGAAAAAGGATACTAAAATTTCCTTACTAAATTTGAAAATAGTTAATTCTTCAAAAAATATAAAGAGCCTGAGACAAATTTTTATCAACTATAAGAATTTAATTTCTTAATAGAAATCATAGTAAAAGAATCAAAGATTTAGAGTCCTAAGTGATAAAATAGATGCTCCTATTAACTAGAGGTCAGGACCCCCTTTGCCCTTACCTTTACACACTTCTGTTGAGGGCCGGCTATCACCTGGAGCGCCAGGAAAGGGGGACGCCGAATGAGACACAGGTTTAATGTTCTATAAATTATTTATTCCTTTCTTTTTTTAAAATATTGCTTGCTTTAAAAATACATTTATAAGTAATATTTTATAAATTATAGATTCGTATGTTAACTTTTTTATTCTGGTTAAATTTCTCTCGCTTGACACTCGTTTACGGCAGATTGCGACAAAAATTTTGTCATTTTCAAAATAATTTTTAACAAAATGACAACATATTAAATGACAAGTACAACAATGGGTGTATCGAAAATGAAATCGCAAAAACAACTGGTTTTGGAAGATTCTATAAAACTGTTTGCGATTGCTAAAGCACGAAAAAAATAGATTTTAATTATTATGCTCATATATTTGTATGCCATAAAAGATTATGCTCATTTAAAATATCACCTAATTCTTTAAAATATTAATTAATTCTAAAATACTTGGGGTGATGCTCTCATTAATTAAACTAACTCTTTTTTTTTTTTTTTTTAGCCTTGAGTGAATTAATTCTAATTTATCTTGTACACACGTTTCCCGAATCAACATTAAGGATTGATATAGATTTTATAATTCTCTGATAGAACTATTGTAATTTAAAATAAAAAAAAGCATTTCTCTACAGCTTTATTACTACACCAGCAAGAGAATTCAACGATTTATTTCTTAAAGATTCTTTTTCCGATATTGAGTTAAGGGCGCCGTTTTCAGTATCGCCCGGGGCGCGACAACATCTTCTACTGGTCTGGCATTGCCTCTGTTGTAAAGGGAAATCTCAATTAAAAACTGTGATGCATTTTCAAAATGGCGCCTGGAATACTAACGAAGACTAGCTTGAATAGTTTCTAGAAAAATTCCGCCTTATTTAATTCAAAACAGCTTACGACTTTTAAAGAACATTTTAAAAATCCATTAGTGAATAAAACGGTTTTTGGAAAATATTTATATTAGATCGAAATGAAGTGAAGAAATGAATAATTCATAAAGATTATCCGCAGACATTGGGGCATAGTTTTAAAACTACAAATAATTGACCCAGGTTTAAGATAACGAAAATAGGGAAGTGTCAAACGTCAGTGAGCGACACGCGACATTTAAAAATTTCGTTTTTCTTTCTTTCTTTTCTTATTTATTTAGTTTCTGCATTTAATTTGAAAACATTAAGAGATTCATATCGTTAATAGCGTCCCGATGCATTCTCGAGTCGAAGCTTTTCTGTAATAATCATGGAGATAAATTTCCGTAAAAATTTACGCGTTAATAATATTAAAATGAAATATTTATTTAATGTCGTTCTAAGAATTGCAGACTTCCCCAAAAAATAAAGTAGGCTTCAAAAAAAAATAATACAGAGATAAACAACCCAAGCATCAGAAATAAAAAATAACACGTATATAAAATTTATAATATATACGTTTATGAGTATATAAAGTATACTTTTCTAAATTACTACATACCTGTAAAAATTGTTTCGAAAAAATATATAAAATTATAAAATTAAAATTTGCAGTTTGAACATTTATGGCAATTTCTATTAGCTTTTTTATTGCAAATTTTTTAAAAATAATACTTTATCAATACCTGATCCGTAATACAAAAANAAAAAAAAAAAAAAAAAAAAAAAAAAAAAAAAAAAAAAAAAAAAAAAAAAAAAAAACAATACTGGCTAGTTTGAAATTTTCTAATTATTTCACGGAATTAAGGAGACTTTTTTTTCAAGAAAATAACAAAAATCTGCAAGATAAAATTGGCTCAGTTAGTAAAATCATTAACATTTTTAAAAAAAAAAACAATTAAATCAAAAAAATATCTTTTCATGAAAATGTTAAATTATGAATACTTTCAAATATACTTCAGAATGTTTAAAATTGAATAAATTTATAATTGTAAAAATAATTTTGAAAAACTGTAAAACATTTTTACAGTTATTCTGATTTTCAAATCATTTTATGAATCATTAAAACGTGATTCAAAATTTTCACTTCAAATTTGGTAAGACAATTTTTTTGTTGCTGTTTTTAAATACTTTAATATTATTCAATGCTAGAATTTATAGGAAAGAACAAATTATTTCACTTTTCAGAATTTTTATGAAGAATTTCTTTAAAAGAAATACTGAAAATTGATAAGATAGATATTCGGCTTTGTTGGTAAAATCATCCATATTTAAAAAATAATTAATTTAAGGAATTATTTATCAAAATGATAAATAGCGATCACTTTCAAATTTTACGTGAGTATTTTTTTTACACGCAACACAGGTAACGTGTAAAAAATAACTTTTTCATTTAAGCAATTAGTTCAATAAAATGTATGCAACCAGACTTCAGCATCAGCTGACGATTTTCTTTTTATCTTTTCTTTGAAAGTGGTGGCAACCAGCGGAAATGAAGGGTGTCGAATAACTATTCATTATGCGCTGCCATCTTGGAATTAGATTACTGAAGAAAAAAAAAATTATGTTTTGATGGATATTTTTTCTTACTTTTTTTCTGACGGGGAAAAAATTGGCAGCCGATTTATAACCTATATTTAGAGTTGATGAAATTGCCATTAAATCATTAAACCCTCGTTTACTTTTTTTTAAACACGAAGGAAATTCTAAAGATGGTGAAATAAGGTTCAGCAGGATATTTTTCTTCAAGAAACACGCTACTGTCAATTTCATGGCATAGCATCACATGAGTCCACCTGATTACAAGATAATGAATGAGTTACGGGTTTACATAAGTACATATTATTTATAGTCAATAAATTAAGTGTAAAATATGGCAACGGACTTATGTACAAAAGCGATAGAATAAATAAAGAAAAGGAATTGATGGAAAATAATAGCATTATATTGTAAAAGTAATTCTTTTAATTTATGTTGAATCGTGCTAAAATATATTGGGCTGTTATTTAAAGAAACTATATAAAAAGTTGATAGATTATAGTGTGGGAATGAAATGCATAACAGCTAGTCTTATTTTTGCTCTCCTATAGTTTTTAAAAAATCAACAATGTCATATGTTCTATGGTTCAATTTCCAGGTACACATACTGTATGATTTAAATTGTGTAAAATATATAGCGCTGACGGAATAGTAAGTGAATAAAACTTCGCTTAGGTAGACTAAACATACCTTAAACTCAAACGCCTGTTGATAATAACGCAGCTTTCTTTTTTTGTCCTTATGTACAACTGAAGTACAAAATTATAATAAAAATCTTGCGCACCTATTACTCTTTAGTTTATCAATAGCATCAGTCTGTAATAAGTAGCTTCAGATTTACTAAGCAATTTTACTACTTCAGTTTAAGTTAATTTTAGCAGTTTAGGTATTTATGGTTATGTTACTGTGAAGTGACAGAAATGGGTGGTTGTTGACTTCCACCGGTGAATGGTGACAATCACATAGTCGCTTTTGCAAATGTACGAAATGTATACTAGGTCCAGTTTAGTGTCACTGCCCGCTACACTGATGTTTTTTCAAGATCAAGTGCCATTGCCCAGTATTCATTTAACCGATACTCCGAACACTGATGTTTCCCCCAATCTATCCTCAACAGATATCAAAATATCGAATAAATATAATAATATAAACGAATAAATTAATATCAAATCGGATGGAACAAATATTTCGGACATTCAACCAAAGCGACTATGTGATAGCTGACATTTACCGGTGAAAGTCGACATTCTCTTGATTTTGTTCATTCACGGTAAGAGTTATACTAAAACTTCACGTAACAGCATGATTAACATAAAGATTGCTCAAACGAAAACAGTAATAATAGAGAACTTTTTCATAGCGTTTCTTTTACGTTAACTGTAACTGTAACCTTTGTGGAGGACTTTTTGATGGAATTAAACCGCAATTGCGTTACATGAAGAGGAAAACCAAGAAAACCTCCAGTGGTCAGCCTGACGACAAGGGAACTCTAACCCATGATCCCTCTACCACTGAGGATATTTTTCGTCAGCACTGTGGTCGGTGCAAACCGGATGCGGAATTTGTATCAACCAGCTATCGCTGGGATTCGAACCCTGTTTACCTCATTGGAAGACGAACGCTCTATCTTATCACGGCTCATATTCCTTCAATAGTAGCTCACTGATGAGCGCTCATTGTTTAATTTTAAACTGATTGAGAATTTTATAGCAACCATATAAAAAATTTCAAAGTTCGCTACTAAAAGCTCTTCTTATTGTGGGCTGGCTGTTTGCGAGAATTTGAAATGGTACTTTTAAGTAATCTAAATCATCTTAACTTTGTTTTATAATATTTACTGTCGAACAGTTCATTTAAATAGGCTCATATTTGTTTATTTTTATCGTGGTTTATTGACTTGGTGACTATTAACTTTTAGTTCTCATCAATTTCTACACAGTACGCAACTACCCTGCATACTATATTGTTAAAAAGAACGCGATTTTAAAATGACCAAATAACTTAATTATTTAAAAAAAAAGAAACAAGTAGAATCTTATAAAAATTTGCGGTAGATTTTCTGCATAAATAAAGATTAATAAAATGGAAGAATATTTCTCAGTTTATGTAAACACTTACGAGTCCCGAAAATGCAGCATCGCAGTAGCATTTGAAATACTCAAAAATAATATAGCATTATCTTCACAAAACTATCTTTTTTTCTTTTGACATTTTTTGATTATTTTTTGGTTACACTATATTTTAAGTTGTCCCTTGGAGTTGCGCCAAAATAGTCCCCAGGATTAGCGATGTTGTTTCATTTATGGTAACTAGCATCGTAAACTCTCAAGGTAAGTTCATATTTCCTATTTAAGTATTTCCATTTTTACGCCATTTCTTTGTTTTATTTTGATATAAAATGCACTTCGTTTGAATTATAATTTATTTCTTATGCTTTAGTTATGTTTCGTTTTTGTTGACTTTGTATTTAGCCACGTGAACTGAATTCTNCATTCGGGGAGTTGCAATGAGGCTTTTTTTTGGTGCCGTGTAAGAGAAATATATATATAGATTTTATAACCGTCGTTGAACGGCAGACCCAATTTTCAGGTTTACGACTGCTAATGTTCAACTCCGTAGCCTCGTAATTTTGAACTTATCCAGAAGACAAGGAAACTTCTGGATCAGTACCCCCAGGGGTATGATTTGTTATGGGAACATGGTGGACTTTTTTGACTCAACAGATTTAACGTGCACCAGTCACCATTTACTACACGGGGAGTCTTCGGCCGGAGGGTATTGAACCCACGACTTCATGGACATGGGCCCTGTACCAACCAGGCTATCCCGGCCCTCTCACCGAAGAATTGCAATATTTGCAAAGATCATCTATAAATATATATATTTACATTCATTAATTCGAGAGGCACGGTTGCTTAAGGGATAGAACGCTCGCCTCCCATCCACAGTGTTGACGTAAAATGTCCTCAGTAGTAGACGGATTCTGGGTTAGAATCTGCTTGTTGTGAACTAATCGAGAGGTAGTGGTTTTCCTCTTAATGTAACGCAAATGCATGTTAGTTCCATCAACAAGTCCGCCACTAAATTAGTTTTTGTGAATGCTTCATCCAGGAGTTCCCTTGTCTCCTGGGTTGGGTTTAAAATTGCAAGGTTGCGGAGAGGAGGAGCATTGATATCTGGAAACTTCAAAACGGGGCAGCTATTTAAAGCTAGTTTTAAAATTAGCATAGAGAACGCTAACTAAAATCATAAAAAGGGTAACGTTATAGTCGCAAATAACAGTTCTGAAAATAGCTTATTATTCGCGAAAAAGGGATATTTCAAGTGACGTCAGAGTTTCGAAAATAAGCTCTAAAGTAACAAATATAATTTGAAGTTATGTACATCAAAATGAATATTTATTTTGATTATTTTTTTTCCTTATAGGATTACCTAAGATCATATTCATGGGCAATATTATTTAAAACTAATTTTGAATCAGCATTTCTCATCGTGAACTTCATTCATTAAGCATTGTTACAGAACAAGCGATGCTCAATTAGTAATAGAGTAACCCTAATTACTATCCAATCTCTATTCATGCTTGAGCATTCCATAAGAGGGGGGGGGGGTTGAGATATAACATATGTTATAGCCTGTGATTCGATATGTCACTCAAGTAGTTTCACATATTAACGGTGACTTGTTAACAGGGATTAGAGAATCACGGTGCCGTTCATTTTAATTCAAATTAAATAAAGGCAACTGATATTTCAGTTCACTATATTAAATATATGTGATACAGTTTCAGGAGATACTTAGAATTGGGCATAGAATTTCCTTCTATAACGTTGTAAAAAACATAACATTCATTATAAAATAATTTTTTTTAAAAACTATGTGTTTCGAACTATAAAATGGAAAGTAATTTTATTATTTTTGCAGATTTAAATAGAAAAATATAAAGCCCATAACTTTCCAAAAACGTATCGTTAATTTTTCCGAGGTCATTAAAATTATATATGTTATGACCGAAATACAGAGAATGTGGATTTTCACCGGTGAATGTCAACCATCACATAGTCGCTTTGGTGAATGTCCGAAATAGTTTGTTCATCCGATTTGATATTAATTTATTCGTCGATATTATATTTACTCGATATTTTAATATCTGCTGAGGATAGATTAGGAGAAACATCAGTGTTCGGAGTACCGGTTAAAATGTATGCCAGGCTGTAGCACTGAACCCTAAAAAAAACATTGATATAGGGCAGTGGTTCCCAACCTTTTGTGGACCATCGTCCCCCTCTTGGGGTTGGCTGACACATATCGCCCCTTTCTCTTTTTGCTCAAAAAAACGTTCATTGTTGCTTGTGAGCAACCAAACACTGAAAATATGCTATGTTATTTGATTTTAATTTAAATTGTAATGCAAATAAGGAGGCACATTTACCCTATTATTTTTATTAATTAAAAAAAATTGTACAACTTTTTTTTTCAAAAAGAAGTGATATTTAAAATGGAATAATCAAAACAAAAGTACATTTTTTTAAATTCATATTTTAATGTAATCAAGAAAAAGTTAAAACGCTAACAACTAAAATTTGAGAAAAAAAA